TGTACCCATTAAACTGTAACCCCACATTGCTCCCTCCTCCCAGCCCCTGGCAACCACCGTTCTACTCGCCGTCTCTATGAATTTGACTACTCTAGGTACCTCGAATAAGTGGAATCATATAGCATTTGGCCTTTTTTGTGGCTGGCTTATTTCACTTAGCAGAATATCTTGAAGGCTCATCTATGTCGTAGCATGTGTCAGAATCCCTTTTCTTTTCAAGGCTCGATAATATTGCATTATATGTATACACCACATTTTGTTCATCCGTTCATCTGTTGATGGACACTTGACTATCATGAATAACACTGCTATGAACATGGGTACACACACCTCTCTTTAGGACCCCGCTTTCAATTATTTTAGGTATATACCCAGAAGTGGAATTGCTGGATCACTCAGTAATTCTATTTTTAATTCCTTTTTTTTGAGGAGCTGCCATACTGTTTCCCATAGGAGCGGCATCATTTTACATTGGCACCAACAGCGCATGAGGGTTCCAATTTCTCCACATCCTTACCCGTACTTGTTATGTGGTTTTGTTTTTGATGATAGCCATCCCAATGGGTGTGAAGTGGCATCTCATAGTTTCGATTTGCATTTCCCCTAATGATTAGTGATGCTAAGCATCTTGTCATGTGCTTGTTGGCCAAAATGATAATATTCTGAATATACTGGGTTAAGCTAAATATATTAATTTCTGTTTACTTTTTAAATGTAGCTACTAGAAAATTCAAAATTACATATGTGACTCACTTTGTATTTCTATCGGACAGCACTTAACTAAATGAATTAAATTCCTGAGAGGCATGAGCCCTTCCTAGGTAAGTTACTTTTATTTTCAATTTCATTTCCTTGGGCACAGCAGGCAGAGAGAAGGCTTGCCACAGACATAGGGCTTTTCTGATTAAGCAGCAATTTGGGAACCGGTGGGTAGGGCTAAAAAAGTAGAGAGATCCTGTAGGCATGGTGATAGTTGGTCTTTAGATTCCAAAGTTCTACTGGAGTGAACCTTACCTCACTTTCGAAATATTTGAAACCAGAGATAAACTGAAACTAACTAAAGCTGCAACCCAGCTCACCCCCTGATTAGCTAGAAGAGATTAGCCTCACATCCTGGCAGCCCAACAAAGGAAAGTACAAGCCCTTTCTGGGGCATTTATTATATAATTCGATCTCTACTCTTCTTTTATACATAATGTCTAGCACACAATAAGAAATTATGAGACATGCAAAGAAGTAGGAAAATGTGACCAATAAACAAGGGGAGAAAAGACAAGCGATAGAAACAGACACAGAGAGGACCCAGGGATTGAAATTAGCTGACAAAGACTTTAGGAAACAGTGATAAATATCTTAAAGAATTTAGAAGATAGATGAAATGGATGAATGGATAATGAATTTCAGCAGAGAAATGAAAACAAAAAAAAAATGGAATTTCTAGAACTAAAAAATACACATCTCCAACAAAGACTGTATTAGATGGGCTTAACAGCAACCTGGCACAACAGAAGGAAGAATCAGCGAAGTCAAAGACAGGTCGGTAGAAAACATCCGGACTGAAAAGAAGAATTCGATGGTGCCTGCGCGCCTTTGGGGTGATGCCATCAATGCCACCCCCTCATCCCCCAAGGCTCACCTTATGCCACAGGGCCCGGAGGCAGTTCCTCCGCAGGGTCGTGTGCTGCCATGCCAGGTACTCATCCACACGGGCTCGGGCCTGCAGGTCCTGAGGGTACCAGTGGTCAGGGACCTCGTACTTTCGAGTCAGGTAGAGGAGGATGGCCACGCTGTGGGGGTGCGTGCATGACAGGTGAGGGAAGGGCATTGTGCTAGGAACTTTACACACAGTGGCTTCTTTAATCACCCTGACAATCCAAGGTATTAGCCTCATTTTCCAGACAAGGAAACCAGGCTTAGAATGGGGAAAGAACTTGTCCCAGGGCACTCAGCCCTTAGTGGCAGAGCTGAGAGTCTTTCTGAGGCTAATATTATACCCAAACTTGTCCTACCACCAGGCAAAGTCCCACAGTAGAGTGTCCCGCCAAGTGTTCAGAGGCAGTTTCTGATCAGAGGAGAGCTTCCTGGAGGAGGTGGCATCAAACCTGAGCCTTAAGGAAGCTCAGTTCTTTCCAGTTTGCATCCACTCTCGTCCTCTGGCATTCAGACCAGCCTCCCATGGCCTGACTGTTCAAAAGGCTTTCTCATTGTCCCTTTGTTCTTTATGTCATTCTTTCTGCCAAGAAGTAGCTCCTATCTAAAACGAGATAGTTTGGCTCCTAAAATATCACTCGGGAAACACTGGGGAGCTGCAGGGTCCTTGAATCGCAGAACAAACAGGGCCCCCTGGCGCTCTCCTCCTCCCTGGGTTATGAAGGCTGCCATGGTGTCGGACGGGGCTAGACCTGGAAGGACACTGAGGATGTATCAATTTGGGGCCATAGAAAAACTTTCGGGAACTTGGGGTATCCCAAGGGCTGGGCACCCCAGCCAAAAGAGCAGAAAGCCTCTATATCTGCCACTGGCCCATATCCCCTGTGAAGAATCTGCGCCCATGCCCCAGCTTAATGACTCGGTTGTCTGTGCAGGGTGCCCCAGAGCTCCTTTTGCTCCCAACTAATTGTTCAAGCCACCTCTGGGAGGGCTGCAGGTCCCTGTGTGCCACAGACCTCCCAAGGGTGAGAGTAGTGACAGAGAAATGCAGAGCCTGCCCACTGCCCCTGGCTGGGACCCAGGAGCTTCGACACTGAGCAGACACAAGGACTCAGGACACCCGGGGACACCAGAAAGGAAGAATGTCACTGGCACGTCAGAGGAACTCAATCAGAGGTGCATCCATCCCGAGATTTCAGAGATGAGCTCTGAAACACAAAGGCCAGGTTCTCCTTTTTATGCCATGGGTGACTCAGGTGACAAAAGGGCTCCACCCTGCGCCCAGCAACCTAAGTACTGGTGGAGAAGTAAAGCAGATGCTTGCTGTCCCAAGCCTCAGGGAACTGGAATAGCAGGCCAGCAGGGGCCTGGGTTCCAGTCTCAACTCTCTGTGGGATGTCAGGCCAAGGGGTCCGTGGACTCTGACTTTAGTTTCCTTGTCGATAAAATGGAGGGTTAGGACAGGATGGTTCCGGCAAGGCCTGGCAGCAGCCCCAGGGTCCCGGTTACCTCTCAGACAAGGTGAAGTCCCCATCCTTCAAGGCCGGCACTTTCTTCAGGGGATTTACCTGGGCAAAGGCATCGCTGAGGTGCTGGCCTGCAGAGAGCCCAGCATGGCGGGTGTCAGGAGAAAGACACTGAGCCCTCCATGGCCTATGCCCACTCCCTGCGATGCCCAGCCCTCAATTTCATGGCTCTTCGCCCTACTGGGCTGTCCACCTGGATGGCAAAGGCTGGTGGGGGCCGCTGTGGGAGGAGCAAGAGGCTACTCTGCCAGATGCTGCAAAAGACCTCAACAACCCATGCCGAGCCCCTGTGGGCACAGCCCACGCCTCTGCAACAGAGCTCGCTGCACAGGCCGCGGTGCCTGGGAATTCGCATACACCCCACCTGCCTCCTCTTCCCACAATGGCCAGCCTTGTGAACTGACATTTGGAGTGGCCCAAGCTGCAGGGGCAGGTCACCTGAGTTAGCTGACTTCCTACAACATCCTTCCCCCATGGACTCTCAGGCAGGGTCACCAAACACAGAGAAGTGGCCGTTTCCTGGAATCTACTTACTTGTAACCAACTTCTGCTGGCCCCTGTGTCACCTTGCTCACCCTGCCCTGGGCACTGGAAACACAGAGCTGGCCCTGCCTGTGGGCTCTGATGAAGCCAGGACAGTCACATTTCTTGCCCCGCTCTCAGTCCCTGAAAGGTACAGCCCAGGGACCCTGGCTTCTGCTTGAGCTGGTCTGAGTGGTTTTCTGCTGCAGATGCAGCCAGAGAGAAGCTTCTAAGGGTACTTAAGTCTCATCACTGCCCTGCTCTGTAGCTCTCAGTGGCTCCCCATTACCCCTGCATCAGCTCTTCAAAGCCATACACAGTCACCCTAACCCTCCAGCCTCACCCACACCTGCTACTCTCTCTTTATCCTCCCTTCAGACGGTTCCCTCACCAGGAGCACCTGCCCCTCTGCCCTAGTAAAACACACCTGTCTGCACCACTATATTTGACAGCCAACGTGGACGTCCCCTTGTCCCCCATGTCCCCTCCCCTGCCCCACACTCTGCAGAGGTAGTCCCCTGTGCAGGACAAGCGGGCAGTTTCCAGAAGAGGCTAGGAGCCGATGAAGTTTCAGGCAGAGGGACAGGCCAGTGCAAAGACAGAAAGGCAGGTGAGGGCCAGCTATGGTGGGGAGGAGCGTTGGGTGGAAAGCTTAGCCTACGAGGGTGCCACCCAGCAATACCCAGGTCCTGTGTCCCACCCCTCCTGTCAGCTGTGTCCTTGAGGGCCCCGGAGGCCTGTGAGAGAAACAAACACCCCTGCTCAGTGTGCAGGGCTCACCAAGCCCTGTCCCCCTCCTGCTCCCAGCTACCCCCTGGGGCAGCCTCCGTCCCCAGCAGCCACAAGAGAGGAGGAAGACAGAGTGAGCAGAGGCAAAACAGGAGGAGCAGAAGAAGGAAGGGACAAAGGGGTCCCCCAGCGCAGACTGGGCCAGTGCAGAGGGCAGGGCTGGAAAGTCCCGTCCTGGAGCAATGCCTCATCCACCTGCTGTCGCAGAATCTCAGCAGTGGGGCCCCAGAGGAGGGCGCCGACACTATCCCACCCTCTACACTCTGCCCCCATCGCTATTCCGGAGGTCCCAAGCCCTAGGCCCAGGTCTCTACTCTCTTCATGCCCCCACCCCTTTATTGGGCCTCAACTGAGCCCCATCGTCTATTCCGTGGGACCGAGCAGAGTGGAAGGGAATTCCAGAATCTTGGATCTCCCTGGTGGCTCATCTTTCTGGGCCCGGTCTCCGAACCGGACCAGTGATGGCCCCAGGAAGGGAGTCGCGCGGGGAGGGGTTCCCTAAGGCTGTGGTGCCCAACTCCCAGGCTGCAGCCGGTTACTGGCCCTTGGCCTGTTAGGAAAACAGGGCCGAGCATCGCCGTCTGACCGCCGCCTTCTCCCGCCCCCGCCCCCGCCTCCCATAAAACCTGTCCCCGGTGCCAGAAAGGCTGGGGACCGCTGCCTAAGGGATGTTTGCCTCCGGGTGCCCCCCGACCTCTCGGTTCCCCAAACCCAAGGCCGGGCCACCTTTGAGCAGCTCCACGGCGCGCAGCTCGAAGGGGATGCCGCTCTTCTTGGCGAAGATGTAGACGGCGCGGCAGGGCTGCGACAGCAGGTCCAGGTAGAGCTCGAGGCCCATGGCAGTGGCGGCTGACAGGACTCGCGACGGCCAGGGGACAACAAACTCCTGCGCGGTGACTCGGGTCTTGGACCGGGGCCTGCGCGGCCACGCCCCCCGGCCGCCGCGCCCCATTGGTCCGTTCCCGCGCCTGGAACTTGGGCCAATTGCAGGAGCCCTGGGGCATGTCCGAGGGGCGGGGCCCACCGGCTGCAGAGCTATCGGAGGCGGTGGCCAAGGGACAAGTTGCCCCTGGGGGGTCGGGCAGTCCCCGTCTTTTCGTGACTGGCTCGTTTCACTTAGTATAATGTCTTCAGGTTGCATCCACGTTGCTGCGTGTGTCAGAATTTCTTGTCGTTCCCATTTTACAGATAGGGAAACTGAGGCACTGAATGATTCTAGACCCAGAAAGTCTGGCTCCAGAGTCCATCTTCTTGGTCCAACACTCCAGAGATCTTGGTGCCAGCAAGTGGCAAAGCCTCAGGTTATGTCCAGCCTTTTGTGGTCACTGACATCCCTCCAATTGCACACCTGGAATGTGATACCCTTGGTCTTCCTGCTCCTGCCAGGGCGGTGCCCTCAATCACGTTCCCTGGGTCTGTTTCTTCCCTTCTGGAGGCCTCCGTTTTTCCGTCTTTAAAATGACAGGGAAGCGAGAGCCCTCCAGGGCCCTTGCAGGTCCACGACTCTGGACTCCCCTGTTGAGCCTTAGGCCCAGGGCTGCCCCTGCCAACCAGAGACCCCCAGGACCGCCACCGGTTAAATGGTATCAGGGTCATGTGTCATTTTCTAAAACAATTCCGACTAAAAATGTGTCAGCAGGAGCATAATGTTTTCTACAGTAAGGAATATTTCTACAAAGAAAGTGAAGATTAGTAATAATGATTTTTTTTCCCTTTTCTTTTCTTTTTTTTGGAGACAGAGTGTTTCACTGTGTTGCCCAGGATGGAGGGCAGTGGCTATTCACAGGCACAAACATGGCACACTACACCTCTGAACTCCTGGAGGCTCAAGTGATCCTCCTGTCTCAGCCTCTGGAGTAGCTGGGACCACAGGTGTGCCACTGTGCCCAGCTCATAACGATGTTTATTCAAAAAGAAAGTTTAAGATGAGAAATCCAGATCTCCATGTTAACAGTTTTAATAAAGGAGCTAAACAGAGGATGTCAGAGGGTACAACAGTTTCCTTATCCCCACCTCTGGGTGACTCCACTCTTCCATGGCTTGGCCTGTCTTGCAGGTTCAAAACCTGATTTGGTTCACATTTCAGAATTAATCTTTATTTCAACAGCACTTCGTATTAACAGTTTCAGTGTTCAAATATTGCACTTCTTTGGCTAAATTTATTGTAAGTATTTTATTCTTTTTGATGCTATTGTAAATAGAAGTGTTGTCCTCATTTTTTGATTGTTCATTGTGAATGTATACTATCGATTTTTGTATATTGATCTTGTATCCTGCAACCTTGCTGAACTTCTTTATTAGCGCTAATAGTTTTTTACTGACTTCATTAGGGTTTCTGATATACGATATATCATCTGTGAATAGAGATAGTTTTACTTTTTACCCTTCCAATCTGGATGTCTTTTATTCCTTTTTCTTGCCAAATTTCCCTAGCTAGAACCGTCAGTTCAACGTTAAATAGAAGTAGTAAGAGTGATCGTTTTTGTCTCGTTCCTGATCTTAGCAGGGGAAGTATTGAGTCTTTCACCAATAAGTATAATGTTAGTTGTAGGTTTTTCATAGATGCCCCTTATCCTGTTGAGGAAGTTCCCATCTTCATCTGTTTAGTGATTTCATCATGTGGGTACGTTAGATTTTATCAAATGCCTTTTCTGCATTATTAAAATGATCATGTGATTTTTATCCTTTATTAACATGGTGAGTTTCATTGAATGATTTTTATATATTGAGCCACCTCTGCCCTCCTGGGATAAATGCCAGGGTGTATAATCCTTTTAATATGCTGCTGGATTCCATCGGCTAATACTTTGTTGAGGGCTTTTGTGTCTACAGTCATAGGACATTACTTCGTGATTTTATTTTCTTGTGATATCATTTTCTGGCTCTGGTTTCAGGGTAATGCTGGTCTTGTAGAACGAGTTGGGAGATGTTTCCTCATCTTCTGTTTTTTTGGAAGAGTTTGTAATGGTTTGGTTTTAATTCAAGCACTTGATAGAATTCACCAGTGAATTCACCAGTGAAACCATCTGATCATGGGCTTTTCTTTGTAGGAAGTTGTTTTACAATGAATATTTCAGTCTCTTTACTTGTTATAGGCATATTCAAATTTTCTATTTCTTCTTGAGTCAATTTTGGTAGATTGTGTGTTTCTAGGAATTTGCTCATTTCATCTAATTATCTAATTTGTTTACATGCAATTATTCATAGTATTTCTTTATAATTCTTTGTACTTCTGTAAGATCAGTAGTGATGTCTCCACTTTCTTTCCTGAGAAGTAATTTGAGTCTTATCTTTTTTTCTTGGTTATACTAGCTAAAGATTTGTCAATTTTGTTGATCTTTTCAAACATCCAATTTTTGGTTTCATTGATTTTTTTCTATTTCATTTATCTCCATTCTTTTTTTTTTTTTTTTTTTTGAGACAGAGTCTCCCTCTGTTGCCTGGGCTAGAGTGCTGTGGCATCAGCCTAGCTCACAACAACCTCAAACTCCTGAGCTCAAACGATCCTCCCGCCTCAGACTCTCAGAGTGCTAGGATTACAGGAATGAGACACTGCACCCAGCCTATCTCCATTCTTTTTTTTCTTTCTTTTTTTCTTGCCCAGGCTGAAGTGCAGTGGCCTGATCATAGCTTACTGTAACCTCAAATTCCTGGGCTCAACTGATTGCCTCGCTAATTTTTTTTCTTTCTTTTTTCTTTTTTCTTTTTTTTGGTAGAGATGGAATCTTGCTGCGTTGCCCAGGCTGGTCTTGAACTCCTGGGCTAAAGTGATCCTCCCACCTCAGCCTCCCAGGGCACTGGGATTAGAGGCATGAGCCATCATGCCTGGCCTATCTCCATTCTACGTTCTAATCTTTATTATTTCCTTTCTTCTGCTGGTGTTGGATTTAGTTTGCTCTTATTTTTCTAGTTCCTTATGGTACAGAGTTAGGTTATTGATCTGAGATTGTTCTTTTTCAGTGTGTGTGTTTACAGCCGTGAATTTCCCCTTGGCGCGGCTTCTGCTGCATCCCATATATTTTGGTGTGTTGTCTTTCCATTTTCAGTAGTTCAGAGTAATTTCTAATTTCTCCTGTAATTTCTCCTTTGACTCATTGTTTGTTTAAGAGCATGTTTAATTTCTACATACTTGTCAATTTTTAAAATTTCCTTCTGTTATTGATTTCTAATTTTATTCCATTATGTTCAGGGAACATATTTTGTATGATTTCAATCTTCTTAAATTTGAGACTTCTCTTATGACCGAATATGTCTATGCTGGAGACTACTGCAAGTACTCTTGAGAACAATCTTTATTTTGCTATTGTTAGGTGGAGTGTTCTGCACGTCTGGTAGGTCCAGTTGGTTTATAGTGTTGTTCAAGTCCTCTATTTCCTTGTATGGTCTCCTGTACTTATTCTATCTATTGTTACAATAAAAGCGGGAGCTGGGCATGGTGGCGCACCTATAGGTGGCCTACTCAGGAGGCTGAGGCAGGAGGATCACGAGCCCAGGAGTTGGAGGCTACAGTGAGTTACGATCATGCCACTGCACTCCAGCCTGGGCAACAAAGTAACACTCTGTCTCTAAAAAAAAAAAAAAATGCTGTATAAAAGTCATCAACTATCATTACTGACAATGTAATCATATTTAACCTTTAATTTTAAAATTCCTTTTGGAAACTGAAACTGGGAGGACCTTTGGCCACCATCTGCTCCCACATCAGAACCTACAATTACACCAACTGTCCTTGGCTCAGCAGCCATGATGGTTGTTCCAGTTTTTTATTAGGCAAAGAAACAGAATTGTTTTTTAGCATCTTCCCTGAGGAAGGAGGCTCAGAGGGCTGGGCCAGCAAGGCCCTACAGGGTGGGCTGCCTCTGGGGTCACTTGTACTTCTGCAGAAACTCACAGATCCTCTCCTTGACCACTGGATCCAAAGTGGAACAGTCCCATTCTGTCAACTTCATCAGCCGCTCGTGGGCCTCCCAGAAGAGGCCAGAGCCGATGCTCAGCTCCACGCGCATGCGCCACTCAGCCAGCTTGGCGCTGTTGAGGAAGATGTTATGGTTGCTTGCCATGGGCTGTGGGTAGACAAAGAAGAAGGTGTGGTCAGCCTGGGGCCCAGCCCCACCTGGGTCCTCTCCTACAGCCTCAGGGGCCCTCCCCATCTGCCTTGCAAAGAATTAGTCTGCTGACCCCCTAGGCCTAGGCAAGGGCTCACAGACTCTGGAATAGATGCAGGGTGGGGACGGTGGATCCAGAATCCCCCGGGGGTCTTGGTCACTCCCTCCCCTGCATGGTAGAGGCCACATAAATGCACCACACCCACTTATGCCTTCAAAATGCACGGTGGACGCCTCTCAGACCCAGCCAGGAGAGCTACCCGACATAGCTGTCTGGAGCTCTGGAAATGAGGCCAGGCCGGAAGGACAGGTTAGAAACCTCTGAACGTTTCCTGGAGAGCCCAGCGGGAGGAGGGGCATCTGGGATCCTGGAGGATTGACTGAGAAATGCAGTGTTCTCCGGATCCCGGGCTCACCCTCCAGCTCCTCCCCATGCTGAAGAATCTTTGTCAAGCATGGAGGATCGTGACTCTCCCTGATTTGAAACACCCTGTGCTTGCTGTTGCCCCCCAGGTTGAGTCCAGGCACCTAGACCTGGCTCCTGCAGCCCCCGTGGTGGCTCTGCCTCTGCCTCTCTGGCTTCACCAGCCTGTTCTCAAGTTATGGCCCCCCGGTCACAGCGACAGAGGAGTCCTGCCCCTGCCCGGGCTCTGACCCCCCACCGCCCCACCCCACACCTGCATCATCTCCACCAGGGCCACCAGGTCCGCCAGGGATATTTGGTCCCCCGTGATGAACATCCTGTCCTGCAGAAACTTCTCCTCGAAGAGGTGCAGGCTCTTCTTCACCTCTTCCAGCATCTGCTCTGTCTTCTCAGCTGGAACCTCCTCCCCTGTGATCATCGGGATCAGCAACTGGCCAGAGTAGGGGAGAGGAGAGGAGAGGAGAGGAGAGAAGAGGCTCCACGGCAGCCCCACCTGGCCCCCAGGCCTCTGCGTGCTTGTCTGCTAGGCAGACACTGGACAGTTCCAAGGTCATAAAGTAATTTCACCTCTTTTAACAGTTCTGATTGGTGGGTGTTGCCTGGGATCATGTGCTCAGAAAGATTTGGGGAGCCCGGCAGGAAAAAATCCTGTGATCGATTAGTGATGTCTGTCACAGGCCTAGGATTAGAAGTAGGGATACCTGTGCTGGTATTAGTCATCTTCACTCTGACATTCTCTAGTTCAGAATGAAATGTCTTGAGTCCTGTCCTGGGGAGAGTAATATCAGCCCCTCCTGTGTGCCCTTCCCTTTGTCTTAATAAGACTCTTTTATACCCAGCAGGCCTGTCCACACTCCAGATAGCTCAGGCAGGAGAGGGAGCTGAGGAAATGAAGCTCAGAGAGGGATAGAGACTAGCTTGAGCTCACCAGTGGTCAGTGGGGCCAGGACTGGACTCCAGGCTTCCTGACTCCCTTGTCCCCAAGCCCCAGATGTGGCTCTGCTCACCTTGATCCAGAGTATCTTGTTCATGGGCAGTTGAATGGCCGTGTGCTGCCAGGCCATGAACTCGTCTATGCGTGCTCGCGTGTGCAGGTCTGGCGGGTACCAGTGCGAGGGTGCGCTGTACTTGCGGCACAGGTAGAAAAGGATGGCCACGCTGCGGAAAGGGCAGGTCAGGGACGCCACCGTTGCCTTTCTGAACTCCCCCGCATGGCCCAGGACCAACAGCTGAGTTCCCCCTGCACAGGCAGGCTCTAGGTGCTGATGTTCCTCCTGGGCAGGAAGGAGCCCAAAGGACCCCTGGAAAGGCCTGCCCCAAAGCTGCCAGACAGTCAGTGAGGGCAGGGAGGGAGACCGGCAGGGTGGGAAGGAGATGGTGGGTGAGGTAAAAAAAAAGGCAGGCCAGTAGGGGGACAACAGGTGCTGAAATACCAGGTGAGAGGGAGCCAGGTGAACTTGGAGAAAGGAGAGTAGGTGGGTGTGGCAGGGGGATGGGAGGAGGGTGGGGAGCAGTGAGGTGGCCAGAGAAGCGGTGGAGGTCGCGATGGAGGTCCCAGGGGGTGCGGTTACTTAATCCTTAGGATTCAGGGTTCCATAAGCCAGGGGATGGGAGGTTCCCTCCCTCTGGCGCTGTATGGACGGTGTGCCCAAGGGTGCGGAATGAACGACAGGGAGGGTCGTTGTCGTCTGGGGAGGGCAGAGGCCGCTGGGACACGGGAGGGGACGGGTGGGAGACTGCTCTGGGGAGATGTCCGGGGCCTTGCTGATTGATGACTAGTGTGAGAAACTCCACAGGACAAAGGACTCGGTTTCTTCATCATCAACAACAAACGGCAAAGGTAAAACATCAGGGCACGGAGGGAGCTGCAGATTAAAAGAGGCAGGGGAGATCGGCCTGCCAGCTGCGCTACTCGGAACTTCTTGGGGCCCTGATTCAAACAAACTGTCAAGAAAATGTTCATGGGATAATCGGAGACTTGTGAATAGGAACTAGATATTTGATGAAATCCGAGAGTTATTTTATTAGGTGTCCTGACGGTATTGTAGTGACGCTTTATTTTTAGAGCCTTTATCTCTTAGAGGTGCATTCCTAAATATTTATGGACGAAATGATGGGGCGTCTGGATGGCGGGGGGACAGAGTCGGATACAGATGGTGCCACGTGGGCCCCAAATGGATGACAGTTGGGGCTGGGCACTGGGTCGGTGGGTCCTCATGCTCCTCATTGGTTACTGTTCCTCCTACTTTAGTGACCGTGTGGAATGTCCCACGGTGAAAAAGACAAACGCTCCCACTGAGTCTCCCAGGAGGAGCAGAGACAGAGGGCGGAAGGGCCCTGGGGAAGATCGTTACCTTTCGGATAAGACAAATTTCCCATCTTTGAGGCTGGGCAGCTTCCGCAGGGGGTTGATCTTGATGTATTCCCTGCTGTGGTGGTGACCTGACGGGGGCAGGGAAGGCCTGAGACTGTGAGGCCCCAGGGAAGAGAGACCGGGGACTCCCAGGAAACGCCTTCCTCTCTGTTTTCTCAAGAAGGGGAAACTGAGGCCTTGAGAGACACTGTGGCTCGTCCCAGGTCACAGGGCAAGGCAGTGGCAGAACAGGGACTGGGATCAGGGCTCCCACCTCCCAGCCTGTCCCTGACCCAGGCTTGGCAACTCCGGTGACCTCCCACCTGTGTCCTCGGACCAGGACGACCCTTTGGTTCAGAAGCTGGAGGCCTCCAGCCCCCTCCCCCAGCGCTAGGGGTCTGGCTACTCCCCTCCTGTCGCCCCTCACTCTGTCACCGCTTGAAGGGAAGCAGGGCAGCTGCAGCTGCCTGCACAGGAAGCCCAGGCCCGGCACACGGTGGGGTGTTCAAAGGGGAGCCTCTCAGCTGCAGTCGGGGGTCACCCCCCATGTCCCCTCCTCTACGTTCTAGAACCTTCTGCTTCTGCCAGCTCAGCTTCTGGAGCCCCTTCTGTGCATGGGGCGGAGCTGGAGCCTGACCCACTGACATCCCACGGGGTCAGCGTAGCCCTGAGCAGGTCTGCACACCGGGGCGGGGGTGGTGAGGACAGGCTGCACCTCTGCCCTTGCGCCAGCCTGGTGGGCAGGAGCTAGACCCCCGAAGGAGAGGGAAGGTGAGGGTGGGAGTTGTGGCTTCCCAGCTGCTCTCCCTCCCCCTTCACTCTAGAACAGGCTGTTCTTCTCTGCATGGGGACCGTCATTAGTGGAGCTGCCTAAGGTAGGCTAGACAGGGACTCAGCCTACGTGTTTCTTGGCACCTTTTCCTTCCTGCGGACCTTTGTGGGGTCGCCTCAGCTTCTGTCTCTACTTCCCAGAAACGCCCCTACCCACATGCCTGCCCCCAGGACCAGGCCTGCGGGCAGCAGAGGGGCTGACCTTTCAGCAGGTCCACAAACTGGAAGTCGAAGGGGATGCCGTTCTTCCTGGCGAAGATGTAGACGGCGCGACACGGGGCGGACAGCAGGTCCATGTAGAGCTCCAGGGACATGCCGAGACACGCGCAGGCCCCCAGCTGCAGCGGGCCAGCGCAGACCTGAGCCTGTGTCCTGCTGGAGCCCCTGGCCCTGTGCCCTCTCTGACCTGGGCCCAGGACCCTGCATTCTGGAACTTCTTGTTTCCCTTGGTATTGTCACGAGGCAGGAAGCCCGGAATTCTCACAGCAGCAAGGATTCCGAGGAGCAGGCTGGGGAGAGGCCCTGGCACAGGGTTGGGGTGGGGGGCTGTGCCCCTGCCTTCTCCTCCCTCGTGGGCCTGTGCGCCCTGGAGCCACCTCACAGACACCCTGTCTGAGAAGGGCTTGTGCATGGGAATTTCCAGGGTCCAAAATGAGGAGAGGCCATGAGAACTAACCCTGGAGGGTTCCAGAAATAGGGATTGGGGTTACCTACAGGTAAATCTAGCCTGAACTGTGGCTAGACAAGGATAAGGAGGGGGAGACACAGGAGTCTGGGGAGCTGTAGGGCCACTGGGGACAACACCACTGGGGAGTCAGGGGCAGAGGGGCTCAGAAACTTCCGGGGCTGGGCTGGGACTGCAGTGGCTGGACTGTGCAGCTGGTGGCTGAGGAAGGTCACTAGAGCCTGTGGGGAGGCCTGAGCACTACTCACTCCGTGCTGTGTGACCTTGGGACATTCCCTGTCCTAATAGGCCTCGGCTCAGAAGTGGGACAGACTCACTTCCTTGGGGGCGAGTGGAGAGCACACAGTGTGTTTGTTGCAGACTCAGCGGAGGCACTCCTGCGGCTGCTGCACCAGCTTCTGGGCCAGCTTGGGGTCCTGCTGGACCTCCTGGTGTCCCAAGGCTGGAGGATGAGCTTGTGGGGCTCTGGGACAGGCTCGACACCCAGGGCAGCCTGCACGCTGCCAGCTGGGGCCGGTCTTGGAAGAGGTCGCAGCCAACAGCAGTGGGCTGGGGAGACAGGCCAGCTGGGGTGGAGTCTCAGTGCTGTGCTCAGAGCCCCCCCCAGGAGGGAGGCAGGCAGGCAGGAGAGCCTCACCTGCATCAGCTCTGTGAACGCCGCCAAGTCTCGCAGGGAGACCTGCTCCACTGCCGTGCAGGGCCTGGCCCCCAGGACCCCTCGTCCGGGTGCTGCAGGGCTCGCGTCCGCGTCCCAACAGCTGCTCCAGCCGAGCAGCACCCGCAGGCTGCCCCGAAAAGTGGGGCGAGTGACACTGGGCAGGGAGGAGACGGAGCAGCTTAAATTAAATAAATAAATTTCTAACTGGCAGCCTCGTACAGTGGCATGAACTCTGTCCCTAGGGTTAGTGACATGAATATCTCTCCTACAGAGATGTTACCTAGCAGTGACAAGAAGCTGAGCTGACAAAGGAAATCACAAATCCTCATTCACGTTGGCCAGAGCTGGTCAGTTGACGTCCCAAAAGGCAAAGGAGCCTGGGGCGGGGGCAGGTGAACAAACTGGCCAGCTGTCATTCTAGATTCGCTACCTGGAGACAGAAAGGTTTTCTTGAGTTTGTTTAAACAGCCTTGACAGTTCCTGGGCGGACAGCGGAGGCACGAGCTCCCCCCACCTCCTCCAGCAGAGACGCCCCAGACGTCCCCGCTATCACGAAGAAAGCAGAGGCCGGGCGCGGTGGCTCACGCCTGTAATCCTAGCACTCTGGGAGGCCGAGGCGGGCGGATTGTTTGAGCTCAGGAGTTCGAAACCAGCCTGAGCAAGAGCGAGACCCCGTCTCTACTAAAAATAGAAAGAAATTAATCGGACAACTAAAAATATATAGAAAAAATTAGCCGGGCACGGTGGCGCATGCCTGTAGTCCCAGCTATTCAGGAGGCTGAGGCAGGAGGATCGCTTGAGCCCAGGAGTTTGAGGTTGCTGTGAGCTAGGCTGACGCCACGGCACTCTAGCCCGGGCAACACAGTGAGACTCTGTCTCAAAAAAAAAAAAAAAGAAAAAAGAAGAAAGCAGAAACCAATCCCTGGTATCAACCTGCCGCTAGAGAGACAGAAACGGGCGAGCTCAGAAGTTTCTCCGCTGTTCTGTGCCAACTGCGCTAAGATCATGAACACCCCCGCCCTCCCGAGCCTGCCCTAATAAAGGGTCATGTGGCCTCAGGGCCCGGGCCTCTCTTTATTTCCTGGTGCTGCGTCCGTCCTCTTTCTCTCTGCAGAAAGAGTAAAATAAACCCGGCACCTCTTTCTGTCCCCAACTCTGAGCGCTCTTTCTCGCCCGCGTATGGACCTCACACCTCCCAGGAACTCCGGTTCCAGGTGTCCCCTGGCAGGCGGGCAGGAGGGAGGCTCAGCGTGGGGCTTGGCCCCTGGGCACCCACTCCTTGGGGCCTGACCCAGCCACCCGCTCACCCGGGCCAGCTGCACTGCCGCAGCTCGCAGGGGAC